GAAGGAACGGAAACGCAGGAGAGCGACCTCGACGACGAAGACGCAGGGATGCCCAAGCTGTTGCCCCCGGAGGAAGGATCCACGGAGCCGCCGCCGATGGCTGATGACATCATGACGTCAGCCCCCGCTTTTCCTGCCTCAACGATGGAAGGCGAAATCGGCGAACCTACTCCCCCAAGCGCAACCCTGATGCAGGAAGAAGGCGCCGTCCTGCTCGGCTTCGCGGAGAACGGCGGCGATCAGGACTCCTTGGACTTTTCTGACTGCGACGAAAGCGCAGAGGAAGAGTGGCATGAGTCAGCACTCTTGTCCTGGATGGCGGAAGCTCGGGCAGAAGGAACGGACCCCCCCACGTTAGCGGAGGTTTTGGACAACTTCGTCGCCCTTCACATCATCCGTCCGGGAGCTACTTGGACCAATGGCCTGACGGAAAGGCCAGGAGAGGAAGAAACGCAGGCGCCAAGTGATTACGTCAGCAATCCGGAAGGCGAACAATTCGACTCAGATGACGACGTTCCCGACTTAGTCCCCTACGCGGACGAGGAAGAGGACGAGATAGGTGAAGCTAACTTCGTAGTTGTCCCCCCGGCCGTGGCGCCGGCGCCCCGAGCGCCGCCCGCTCGCCGGGGGAAGCTCAGATTTCGCTCCGACATCGCGCTCATGGGCACAGCGGCGTTCACCCAACTTTGTTACACGGATGACACCGTCTCCTGGCTGGAACAATTCGAGGACCCGGAAGAAAACTCTCCGGCAGATGCGGAGCCTCTGTGCTCCCCGCCTCGACCGTTTAGGAACGAGCCCCCGGACAGACCCGACCGGGGCATTGTACTCTCCTCCCCGCAGGAAGTCCGCTGCTTCTTCGACGAGATGATGCGGCAGAACGTATACTCTCCGGATTATGCTTCGAACAGAATCAGAGAGTATGAGCAGACGTTCCTTCAATTCGACGTGGACGAGATCCTGCACCCCATACCCACACCTCTACTGGCTGCGCTACCCCCCGGATTCTGCGCTACCGTCCTGTTAGCCGAAGCGGAAGTAGAGGCTGGTGACGCTCGCGAACGAGAGCGGACAGATGATTGGGGAGAGGACATATTCGGGCTCGAGCTTCCGCAGGTCCAAAAAGCAACGGACTGCCCCGAGGTCGAAGCGAAACCGCTCCCTCGACTTCCCCCCGAGGAACAATGGCAGTCCGTCTTGCCCCAACTGCAGATCGCAGAAAGCTTAACTCCGGAGCAAAAGAAAAACCTTCTTGACGTCCTCAAGCGTCACCCTCACGCCTTCTCCAAAGATCCATCTGACCTAGGGTTGGTAAAGGGGTACACTCACAGGATCGACACCGGGGACATCAAACCCATTCGGGAAGGCCCCCGGAATCACAGCCCTTTTGAAAAAGATGAAATTGACAGACAAATGAAACCCATGGAAGACTACAATGTGGTCCGCAGGTCAAGCAGCCCCTATGCGGCAGCTGTCGTGCTTGCACGAAAGAAAGGGGGCAAGTGGCGCTTCTGCGTCGACTACAGGAAAATCAACCTGGCGACCGTACCTAATCGGTACCCCTTGCCGCGCATCGACTCCATCTTTGACAAGTTGGGGCGAGCGACTTACTTCACTTCGCTCGACGCGCAGGCAGGGTATTGGCAAATCCGGCTGCACCGGGAGGATGTTCAGAAAACGGCATTTCTCACCCACCGCGGTCTATTTGAATTTCTCCGGATGCCGTTCGGCCTGACCGGAGCCCCGGGGACTTATCAAATGGTCATGGACCAAACCCTGCAGGCAGAGATCAGCGGACCTAAGCCATGCGTGACGCAGTACCTGGACGACACTTAGCTCTACTCCGACGACTTCGCAGAGCACCTTTCTGCGTTAGACACCGTTCTGACGAAGCTCGAGGCCATCGACCTTAAGCTCTGCCCAAGCAAGTGCCACTTTGGTGCCAGCGAAACCGAACATCTCGGGCACCTTATCCGGCACAATCAACTCTTGCCCACACCGGAAAAGGTTCGCGCAATCCGAGATTGGTATGAACCAATCAACCCTACGGAGATCAAAAGCTTCCTAGGGATGCTGGGCTATTACAGGATCTTCGTCCCCCAGTTCGCATAGCTGGCCAAGCCGCTTCACGACCTGACGAAAATCGGAGTCCCCTTCGACTGGGGCCCGCACCAAGCGGAGAGCTTCAAGCTGCTCAAACAGGCTCTGATCGATGCGCAGGCGCTCACCCGACCTGATTTCGAACGCTAAGCCGTTCCTTCTGGATACGGATTACAGCAAGCTTGGCATCGGGGCAACCCTCAGCCAGCTTAACGAAGAAGGTCGCGAGTGCCCGGTTGCATTTGCGTCTCGCGCACTCCACGGCGCCGAAGCCAACTATTCTGTCACGGACGGAGAGTTGCTAGCCATGGTCTGGGCGATAACGGACAAGTTTCGCTCTTACCTTTTCGGGGGCCCCACTTTTACAGTGCGAGTCGACCACAACCCCCTCGTATGGCTTCACCAACAGACCGGGCTGACGGGGCGACTCGCGCGCTGGCACTGCAAACTGTTGGAGTTTAACTTCACAGTTGTTTACAGACCGGGTCGGCTCCACTCAAACGTGGATCCCCTTTCCCGTAATCCGGTAGCAACCCTACCTTGGGAACAGGACGAAGACCCCGACGAGCTTCCCAGCTATGCAGCGCCGGATTTTGAATACCCACCCTCCCTCCCTCAGGTCTCTTTGTGCGTAGTCGCCCGGGACGTCGACTTTAGCGAGGGGATGGAATACTCTCCTTGCACACCGGATGCAGACTCTCACATGGACCTTACGCAGGAGGATAGAGGTTCTCCGGTCAAGATGACTTGGGAAACAGTGAACGACGGCGCAAGCGACTGGGAGGACAAGTCCGGAGAAGAAAGCGCTAGCGAACGGGAGGAAGTGACTTTCCAACCGCGCAAGCTGTTCGAAGAAGAGGAGGAACTCCTCATAATGGAAGAGGAAATCACCTTCCAGGATTGGGCGGCTCCGGAGGGGCTCACAATCCTGACCATCCTTGCAGGAGAGACCACGGCCTTGGAACCCCCCGAACGAATGCAGGGACTTCCGGAAATCCCGGCTCGGGCACGCATAGTTCTGGAGGAAGAAGAAATGGTAGAACAGCTGACACGAGACCTGGACAGGCACCTGGGCTTGGACGCACAACAAATCCTGGAAGCGGCAACACGCAAAGGGGAAGCGGAACTTCCGGAGCCAGATGGCTTTGATGCTCACGTCCAGCAGGTCCTAACTCGACGCAGGAACTTTCTGCGAAACGGGGGAGTAAATACCCCTTTAGCGGAAAGCACTCTAGTGGAAAGAGTGGCCATAACGATCCTCCAGTTGCCCGAATGCGGACCCAGAGGAGGTTCTGGGGGAGGCCAAAAAGGCCATCCTGAACATGCGGCAAGACTTGCGGGAGAACCTCCTAGCTCGGGGTGGCCAGAATCCTAGCGAGGGGATTAGGGACAACTCCAACGAAGCCGGCGCCGCCCAGATGGAAACATTCTCCCTGGAGCACCTTCCCCGGCCCGAACCGGAGCACTTCCTGTGCGGAGATGCAGAAGTAATAGCTTGGCTGTGCCGCGGACAACTTCCAGCATTCAAGGAAATGACGGCCAAACAGCGCAAAGAAGCGCGCCGCCAAATCCGGGACAGAGCTCGCCGCTTCTTATTCGAAGAAGGCAGGCTTTGAAAACTGGACGCGCCCCCAAAGCGCAAGAATCGAGTGCAGGGGCCGGTCCGCAGGCGTGCCGTTTTGACGGAGGAAGAAAAACAAATGGTCTTGGAAAAAGTACACAATCAGGGAGGGCACCCCTCTATTCCGAAGACGAGAAAGCTTTTGTAGGCACGATTCTTCTGGAAAGGAATGTACGAGGACGTGCGCGACTTTATCAAGTCCTGCGTCGCCTGTCAATTCGCCAACCAACCCACAACAGAGCGAACGAACGGCCGAAAGCTGACGAGCACAGAGGTAGACCTACCCCTTGAGAAAGTCGGCTTCGACTTGCTCGGGCCATTCCCCCCAACAACAGAGGGATACGAGTACGTCTACATTTGGTACGACTACTTCTCCGGCTGGATTGGTGCAGGGTTGGGGAAGACCAAGCAGTCTGCGGAGGTCGCGGAGTTCCTTAAAATGGATCTCTTTGCGGCCCACGCCTGCCCGGCACTTATAATCATGGACAATGACGCGCACGTCGGGGAGGTAAAAGACCTCTGCCAACGGATGGGGACACAAGTGCAGGTGATTGCCCCCTACTCCCCCTGGATGAACGGAGGAGCGGAATCTTCGGTGAAGATTTTCACCAAGAATGTTCGCAAGCTGGTGATTCAGTATGGACCTGACTGTGTGTCTCACATCTACGAGGCCTT